CTTCAGAAAGCTTGCCTCTGCTTTTTGCGCATGTTCCAGTGGAGGCACTCAGCCAGGCTGTCGAACCAGTCCGATATCTGGTCTTGGTCACAGATGGAAGGCACCGGGTAGATAGATGTGGTCACCTTGAGGCTGCAATGAGGAGGATGCGAGCTCTTTAAGCTCCATCGAGATTGTGTGCTTTGCTCTTGGATTGTTTTAAAAACGGTCAGCCTTAAAAGTCAGGGAAATTCTTGTCTGTTTGCATTTGTTTTTCTTAAATGTGCTCTAACTAAAAAGGTTTGTTTTAAAGACCATTGTACAACATCGGTTCTCCGCAGGAAAGACTAATCCTCTTAGTGTTACACATTATGGAAATACACAGCTCAGTAAATGTACACAAAGAAAAGATACAGCCAAGACAGCACACAGCTGTATGTTGTCATGTTTGTGCCTTTTCTTTGTCACGTTTAGTGAGCTGTTTATCTCAGTTACGTACAACATGGTGAAAGGGTGCAAGATATGAGAAAGGCTGGACAGAAGCGCTGAAGGACAGGGGCACTTTGTTCCTGTCCTTTGGCTCTTCTATTCAAGTCATGAACCATTTAGCACTTGTTGATATGAGAAAGGCACTGTTGGGTAAAGTACAGGGTGTCACAAAGAAAATTTACAGGGTTTATATTTCCACAAAAATAAACTAGGCATCGCCCAACGCTCATTGTCCGCTCGAAGGTAGCTCGAGAGGTCACAACCAGATGCCAAAGTTTCAGCCCGATCCGATAACTTAATCAAAAGTTATAAGTGTTTTTCTGAAAATTTCAATGGGAAAATGGCAGCCGACGGAGTTTTTCGAATACATGGGGATCTATGGCACCAGAAACCGAAAACGGGCAAAAATGAGCTCCATTTTCCCTTTGAAATTTTCAGAAAATCACTTATAACTTTTGATTTTAAGTTATCGGATCGGGCTGAAACTTTGGCATCTGGCTGTGACCTCTAGCGCTACCTTTGGGCGGAGAACGAGCGTTCGGGCGATGCCTAGTTTATTTTTGCGGTAAAAAAAAAAAAAAAAAACTGTAAATTTTCTTTGTGACACTCTGTACATCTAAAAGTACAAAGTAAATAAGGGGTTATGTACTTCAAGTTAGGTAGTAAGTACACCGGGCACAATGTACTTGAAGGAAAGTACAGGGTGTCCCCCCGAGAAATTGTACAGGTTTTGTTTTCACCGCAATAATGAACTACGCACCGCCGAACGCTCATTCTCTGCCCAAATCTAGTGCGAGGTCCGAACTAGATGCCAAAGTTTCAGCCCTAACCGTTATCTTATCAGAAGTTGTGCGTTTTTCTGAAATTTTCAATGGGAAAATGGCAGCCGACGGAGCTCTCCAACACGTGGAGCTCTGTGGCGCCAGTTACTAAAAACGGGCAAAAATGGACCCCATTTTCCTCATCTTGTAAAC